TGAAAATTTAGGGTAACGTCCCCCACCCACGTGTGACCCCGCAAATTTAAATTCAGCTTTCCCGTACCCGCGGATAACACGCATGGCCCCGTTCCGCCCCGCTCTCCCCCTCTCCTCCCCATTCTTCTCCCTCCTCCCATCACCCCATTTCAAGAGGTTAAATTACTGTAATGAAACAAAACTAACGATGAAGTTGGTGAGAATCCTCGACTGAATGTGCTGCTAATTGTATCGGGAGGTGGTGGAGCCAAAGCACATGCCATTACAAGATATTTTTGCCACAGCGACAGGTAGCTATCCTGGCCGAGAGATTCGCCACAGAGCGGTGAGACCGTCGCTTTGCTTTTCGATGTTCGCAGTAACGATGCACGATTCTCGTTCTGAGGATTACTAAAAAATTTTTTCATCGCTAAATTGCCAAATTTTTGAAAAAATATTCAAAAATCGGCATTTTTGCTCTTTGGATTTTCACAGATTTCACCTACAAACACCTAAAAATATTTGATAAAACTTTTGTTAAAATCAAAACCAATCGCAAATTTCGCCTGTCAAAAGACACAGGGTATTTAGAAATAGCCCGAATGATAAAATCATTCGCTGAATAACCTGTTGATGGTTTCCCCTGCTAAACGCTATTTGTGTTTACAGCTAAGGAATGAAACGCTGTCGGCAAATTGACCTAATCCTTTAATACATGTAAAATTTTCATACTTGATATAAAATTTTCATATAAATATTAATATTTTTATTGGTTTTCATATTACCAATATTTCCACACTAGAATTTTCATTGATTTTCATATTAAGTATAAAATTTTCATAATTAATAATACATAATACATACATTAAGTCCTGGTACCCTTGTGAAGCTGGATAAACTATTTTTGTTCCCTAATTAAATGCCTGCTCATGTATATCGATTTGTGAAAACGAAATCTTACGATTTAAAGGATAAAATGGGATTATTACGAAGTTGTAATACCCGTTTTACAGTTTTTACCAAAATAAGTCTTGGCAAGGATGACAGACAACAGATGGATGAGACTAAGTGGCACCCAGAATGGATTAAAAAACAATACGAATGTGTTATTAGATCAATAACTCGAATCTCTGGGAAAGAACAGATGAAGAAAGCACAAAATCGTAAAAAGCGGAAAATCTGCCACCTGCGCAGACGAAAATTTGCTGAAATCGAAAAAAAATCAGTCATTCAATTTTTCAAAAAAATCATCCTCCATTTATAAAGAAACCTACGCACAGAAAAGTCGAAAAATACAATTTTTCAAGACATTTTTTCCCCTTAAAAATGCAAAAAAAAAAACAGTTTTTTTTACCTTGGATCAACAAAACCACAGCATGCATTCAGTCGTATCTGTACAACTGGCCAGGCATAGAAAACGGCAGTTGGGCACTGTGTTAGTAGGAAGTGATGCTCTGTGTAGCCGGAAAGTGCGCAAGCCCAGGGATCCCAACGAAAATATTCGTTACCGCGATCACTGTTCACCTGAAAATTTAGTTTTTTTTTTGCAAAACTTCTGCATAATTTTTATAAAAAACACAAATAAAATAAAAAATCACGATGAAAATAGTAAAAAATGTTATGCTGCATACCGGGGTTTAAGCAGAATTATCCAACACAGCGAAATGGGATACTGTAGTGATGAATCCCACCCCATTTCGTAGCGATTCAGCCGTCTGTGTCTACGGTTCAGGGATGAAACATAGATGTCACCTACTCTAAATACCGGTTTGCTCACCTGATATAGCTAAATGGTTTTTTTGAGTTCCACCAAATATTAAAATTCGACTGTTTTTTCTTTACTGGCCTACACTGCGACCAAATTACACATACGGCCATAAGGTACGTCTTACCCCGTCTTGCTCCAACCCTTTAAACGTTGTCAATTTCATTATTTTCATTAGCATTTTAGTAGCATTCCAAATTTTTCAGTACTTATACAAGCTATTTAAGCAGTGGATAATAAATAATTGTGAAACAAATTGGGAAAAATTAGAGTTCGAACCATAGGCTAAATATGAAAAAATTATGTCTTAACTGAGTTTAAAACATTTTAGCTCATTATGTTATATAATTCTTAAATCAGCGTTACAACAAATCTTAGAAAACACAACGGTTGTG